TATATACACATATATATATAAATCATTGTTTTCAGGTTCTTGAATGAAAGGAGAATTATATTTACTGACTTATTTTTAATTTTACTAAGTATTGAGAGCTACATAGCGTTACTCACTTTTAAAAATAGCGATACCTATATTTTAGCTATAGTTAGTACAAAATCAATAAGAGAATTATCATTTTATTTACTTCAACATGTACAGTGTAGGAAATTTATCAAGTGTATCTTTTTATAAAGATGGAATCTCACTCTGTAGCCCTGGCTGGCCTCTGCCTCAGAAGTGCTGGGATTAAAGATGTGGGATACCATGTCTGGCATGATTGTCATTAAAAATAATAATAATAATATACTTTTAAGTTTTGAGCTTCTTTTTTCTCTTTTAGTGCATTTGCACAGTATAACTTGGACCAGTTTACACCAGTAAAAATTGAAGGTTATGAAGACCAGGTATGTTGCATATAAACACCAAATTTCACTACTTTTTGATTCATTTATAGTAATTTTTCCCTGAAGAATTGTGAAGTGGTGTACTTAAAGGTAAAACATTACTCATTTTAATAGTAGGCATTTACTGTTAAAATAATCGAAAATGTTATGTTATTTGTTTTGTTTTAACTAATACCAGAAAGTCACTTGTAGAAATAACCAGATGTAATGGCACACACCTGTCATTCCAGTATTCAGGAGGCTGAGACAGCAGGATTGCCATGAATTTGAGGCCCGCTTCAGCTACATAGTGAGTAGCAGGCAAGCTAGAGCGCTACATTGAAAAACATTGTTTCAAAAAATGAAATAGGGCTGGGTGTGGTGACACAGGCCTTTAATCCATCACTCAGATGACAGAGGCAGGTGGATCACTGAGATGAAGCTCTAGGGGTTCTGACACCCTCTTCTGGTCTCTAGGCATCTGCATTCATATGTGCACATGCAGTCATGCATACACATAATTAAAATTAAAATAAAAATCTTTAAAAAAAAAAAAAAAAAAAAAAGCACCCACGTGGCTGCTAACAACTGTCCGTTAACTCCAGTTCTAGGGGGTCCGACAGTCTCTTCTGTTCTCCACAGGTATTGCATGACATGGGTGCACTTACCTACATGCAGGCGATACCTGCATACACATAAAATTAAAATAATAAAATATTTTTTAAAAATAGTTTTAAGCTGGGCGTGGTGGTGCACGCCTTTAATCCCAGCACAAGGGAGGCAGAGGCAGGCAGATCTCTGTGAGTTTGAGGCCAGCCTGGTCTCCATAGTGAATTCAGGACAGCTGGGGCTACAGGGAGACCCTGTCTCAAAAAGACCAAAAAAAAAAAAAAAGGCATACATGTGCACTTGCATGTACACACCCCCCGTACCATTTCAGTGTATTACTGCCCTAAATTAATTTTATTTCTCCAGAGATTTTGATCATAAACAATACTACATAGTCACATTGACTGATTTTCTTTAGCTAAATCCCTAAAAGCAATTTTGCTACATTAGGAATACAACTTTTTAAAATGTTGAGTGGCTTCCAAAGTCATTTTTTAACAACTTAGCATAATTTTGATATTTAAAATTAAAAGCTTTTTTTTTCTAAATCAACTGTATACTAACACCCAGGCTGGGTGTGGTGGCGCATGCCTTTAATCCCAGCACTTGGGAGGCAGAGGCAGGTGGATCTTTGTGAGTTCGAGGCCAGCCTGGTCTACATAGTGAGTTCCAGGACAGCTAGGGCTACAAGGAGACCCTGTCTCAAAAAGACAAAAAAACAAAACAAAACCCAGAAACAAAACAAAACAGAAAGCTAGATATTAATAAATATGGGACCAGCAAGATGGCTAAGTGGGTAAAGGCACTTGCCATACTACTCTTAGGATCTGATTTGAGATCCTTCAATAGTAAAAGGAGAGAATTAACTCTTGAAAGTTGTCCTCTGACCTCATGTGCTTATAATTGCTGTCAGTTAAAATTTAAAAAGCACCCAAGGTATTAAGAACAGTGTTCAATGTATGCACCTATGCTTTACCATCTTTTATGGTGCCTTTCCCTCCACCACAAAAGAAAACAGTTGTAAATAAATGGCATGCCAGTAATGAATTGGAATATTAAATTTCTATGCATTTCTATCATTTTTCTAAAATAAAGCCCCCCCCAACCTGTGTATATGGATATATATATAGAGAGAGAGACAGAGACAGAGACAGAGACAGACAGACAGACAGACACACACACACACACACACACAGGTGTATATAGCTAATGTGGCATTTCATCATGAAAATTTTAGAAAGCTACATCGTCTGTTGTAATCATGATTTACATCAGAGGAATGAGAAAAACCTGGTATGTATCAGGATTCAAAGATTAGGAGTGGTGCAAGGGAAGAAAGGGAGAAAATTTTAAAAGTAAAATACAAAAGGTTTATAAGATTATAGATTTTTAAGTATATAAATGGATAAGCTTTTTTAGAATTTTGGAAATCAGTAAGAGTCATTGATTAATTAGTTTATAAAAAAACAAAAGCAGATACTTGGAGCAGATAAGATTGTAAGCTCCAGAGCAAGTTAGCCCACTCTGAAGAGTTTCCTCACTGGATTAAAACTTGCATTCTTATAACCATCAGATTGACAGGTCCTTGGTTTTTAGGAACTTGTGCCTGATATCAGAAATAGTGAACTGTAGATAGATAGATAGATGGATGGATGTTTCCATCAGTATATAGTAGAAAATGAATTTGTTTCTTCATTTAGTAGTAAAAAGTTACATTGAAAGAAAATCTAATCTACAGTAATTGTGAATAGACTCATATCTTTTTTATTTATTCTTTTAACATAGCTGTATCATATATTTAGTTGCTTAGAGTAAAATTGATGTAGTTTTCAGAAGAAGCTCAAGCAAGTGTATACGTGTCTGTCCATGTTTGTCTATTGTTTTAAATATTTTTTTTTCAAAATTCATTTGAAAATTGAAGGTGTTGATAACAGAACATGGAGATTTGGGAAATGGAAAGTTTTTAGATCCAAAAAATAGAATCTGCTTCAAATTTGACCACTTAAGAAAGGAAGCAACTGATCCAAGACCCTACGAAGCAGAAAATGCGATTGAATCATGGAGAACTTCAGTAGAAACAGCCCTACGAGCTTATGTAAAAGAACATTACCCAAATGGGGTCTGCACTGTAAGTCAGCAGGGGGCAGGTTTTTCCTTTTGTTTCTTACACACATGTGACAGTTTGTATGATTCCTTGAAATTTACAGTAATGTACAGAACTAACATTTTATAAATTTAGCTTTTTTCTTTGAGGTAAATATTCATTTCACTGTTTACTATCACTATGGAAATTAAGTAATACATTATCATAGCCCCAAATGGAGAACTAATTGTACTTTAAATTCAGTTCACAGGTTTTTTAATACACTGACTTAAAGATATGATTGACATTCTTTAGTCCCATGCCTCATCTTGGTTTAGCTTAAATCAAACTTAGTTTTATTTAGTTACAAAAATCTTAGAACAAATAATTTGGAAGTGAATCATAGCCTCAAATATTTTATAGTTGAAGTATTTTGTAGTTCTTGAGGCTTTTATGTTCACTGATTTTTTTTTTATTTCTTCAGAATGAAATATGATAGAAAATCTGAGTGCTTTTTGCTTCTGAACTTTTCCTAAGATTGTTTACCTGACAGACTCTCTAGCTCCTGACAGACTAACTCCTGAGTCTGTATTTCAGTCATCTTCTTCATAGCCATAGTGATATTTTGAAATGCAGAGCAGATTCTGAAAATCCTGTGATTGAAGTCCTTCAGAGACTGGCATCTGGACAAACCTACAAAGCCTCAGGGCCCTGGTTCTGCTTACCTCTCCAGCCTGAAGTGACTGCCCACCATAGTTTGCACCTACTTTCAGCAGTAGTACCACTCACAACATCCCATTTCTTAGAAATTTCCTGGTTAGGGGGGAAAAAAAATCATATAGTCTGCCAGATATTTAGCTGTCAATGACTGTTTGAGAAATATGACAATATCAAATAGAATCATCTTACAAGTTATTTGAATTATAACTTGTTGATTAGGATTATTTTAGAAAATCTCAAAAATAACAGAGTAGCTGATTTAGTTAGACAGCTCTCACTTTCGGAAGGATGAAAGTTACTCATTATTTTAAATAAGATAAAAGGCAGTGAAATAATACAACATTTATCATTATCGCTTAATGACCTTTCTCAGTTATAAGTAATTTAGCTTTCTCACCTGTATCCTACTACTAGTATTTTGTAAATAACTTGCAAAATGGCAACCTCTAAGAAAATGAACAAAACTAAAACCCACTAACTAGGTCAAGCTTTGACTTGATGTAGAAACATATTCATATCTATATGTTTAAAATAAATTATTTAGAAATGATGGGATAGGTCAGCAGGTAATGGTGCTTGCCACCAACTTGAAGACATGAGTTCAGTCCCAGAGACACACCTGGTGGAAAGAGAGAACCAACTCACATAAGTTGTCCTCTGACCTTCACCAGTGTGCTGTGGCATGTGTTCATCCACACACATCCACACTAAAGAAATCAGTGTATTGATTGCTTTCATATACTTGTGTTTGGAATGAAAGCATGCTGTATTTAGAATGCTTATGGATATTTTTAAGAGTTTTACTCAAGGAATTGAGTAAAGATGGCTCAGCAGTTAAGAGCACTGACTGCTCTTGGAGAGAACCCGGGTTTGATTCCCAGCACCCATATGATGGCTAACAACTGTCCGTAACTCCAGTTCCAGGGGATCTGATATCTGATACCTTCTGACATCCAGGGGCATTGCATGACATGGGTGCGCTTACACATATGCAGAAAGTACACTCATACACATTAAAAAAAATTTTTTTTGAAGAGTTTTACTCAATAAATTTGACTATTAAGTTTTTGGTGAGCCATTAATAATTTGATTGGTATATTAAGAACTTGGTTTTCTGTTTACTCTATTAAAGTGAGTACCTGCTTTGTTCTATCTTTTTATATGTTTCTACCAAAGTGCTTTGTGATACCATACAGATGCATAAAGTTGAACATTCTGTGGCCTTAAACTCACTTTTCTTGTTTTCTTTGCCGATAAGGTATATGGTAAAAAAATAGATGGGCAGCAAACCATTATTGCATGCATAGAAAGCCATCAGTTCCAAGCAAAAAACTTTTGGTAAGTTAAAGTTTTGTGTATGAAGGAATTCTGTTATTCATATTCCCTGTAATTCTTGTTTGTGTGATTGACTAAGAATAAGATAAACTTGGTATAAAACTTCCACTTTTTAAGAATATGAAAGATACTTGCTTCATAGTCAGTTTAATCATTAAAGATAAGCAGCAAATTGATGACATTTAGTGGAGAGTGTGGGAAGCATGGTGATTTTGGAGAGTCACAGGCAGTAACCTAAGGGAGTTTGTGTACTTGCAAGCGGACCAGGTGGGAGGCCCATCTGCTCATTCTGAGAACACGGTGATCCTGAATGAAGCTTCTGTAGAGCAGGAGCACAAAAGAATTAAAAAATGAAAGACCATGGTTCTTTTTGAACTTAGAGACTTTGAGTTACATGTTTTATTGGCCAAAATGAGAAAGTAAAATTACAGTTATGCCTTGTAACTTTGTGCACATATCAGTTGTTTCTGCAAAAGTCTGTCTCCATCCCCGCCCCCCACCCCAACCACCCAAAATTTAAAAATCCAACTATTTGCCCTGTTAATCAGGTGTTTGGGTTTTAATCTTAGACAAGACTATTGGGGGGGGGGGTTGTTTTGTTTTTGTTGTTGTTTTTTGTTGTTGTTGTTTTTAATGGAGACAGGGTCTCACTGTGTAGCTTTGGGTGACCAAAACTCACCATAGTAGATCAGGAACCCCAGAGCTCCGCTTGCTTCCCCAGTGCTAGGATTAAAAGCATGTGCTCTTATACCCGGTTAAGTACATTGGTCTTCGATTCATTAGCCAAGTTGGTTCCTGGTAACCCCAGTGGAGCAGTTTGGGCCCTGACCCAAGGCTGCTACTACTTTGCCCCTACACCTACCACATACTGGAGCATTCCTCCCTCCCCACTCAAATACACACAAAAAAGTACTTTAAAACTTTCTCTTGAGTATGTTAGGGCCAGCAAGATGGTTTAGTGGGTAAAGGCACCTACTGCCAAACCTCATGTCCTAAGTTCAATCCCTGGAACCCACATAGTGGAAGGAAAGAACCCACATTTTGTCCTCTAACCTCTACATGTATGCGGCAGCACATGGAGACACACACACACATACACTAAATAAGTAAATAAAGTTTTAAAAGAGTATTTTATATTACTTGGTTTTGAATTTTATTTTAAGCCTTAGCTTTAGAATTCTGAATTATATCCATTACATATGTCTTTTTTATCAGTAGGGTAAAGATTTAGTGTCTTACAACGGGACTTAATTTTTTTAATCTTTTTGTTATTTCAGTGGTTATAAAAATCTATGTCCAGCATCTGTATCCCATACTCTTTGAAATTAAATCTGAAACTTAAAATTGATCCAGTTTTTTCCCCTACCCTTATTTACAGTTGCTATTTTTATTTTTAAGGAATGGTCGTTGGAGATCAGAATGGAAGTTTACAGTCACTCCTTCAACCACTCAGGTGGTTGGCATCTTGAAAATTCAGGTATGAAATGAAAAGAGATTGTTTGATCTGTAGTTCTGAACAAAGAACAATAAGGTTTCATTTCCATAGTTCACCCTAACCTTTCTCAGTGTTTTAGGGCAGTGGAAAAAACAAGTAGTACTGATTTTTAAGTCTTTTACATAACCCGGGCACATCATTCCCTAGTCATCAGAAGTCTGTAAGGATAGCTGACTGTTTTTTAAAACAGCTAAAATTAGATGCTACCATTTGGACTCCTTCATGCAATTTGTTCAACTAAGCATTTGAGTTTTGAGTGTATTCTGTGATTCAAAATGAGTGGAATTGAGTGAAACATAATCTGTATATCTTACTATATTACATGCAACTTTTAAATAACTCTTACACTCGTATTTGGCTTCCTATATGAATCTAGTGGAAATGAATTCTTTGACCCTTAATGTAAACTTCAGTATTTATATAGATCATTTGCTGAGTACTTATTTGAATGTTAGTATTAACTGCATAAGCTAAAGGAAAGTACTAGCTAATCTTTGTCTATTTTGATTCATTTATTTAATCAGCGGTCATGAAAGGTATAATGCTAAGAGCTATAAAGGAATAAAAGTGAATTGGATGCTGTAGTTGTGTCATTTCCCTTTGTTGTACTTTTCTAGTCTTACATTCCATTGCCTTCCCTTTTAGTGCCTATCCCTTCAGGGACCAGAGAATAGAAACGGAGGGCATGAAGTTTGAAATCAGACTTGCTGAGTTTTTTAATCCTATCTAGTTACTGTTTGTGTGACATCTGGAAGTTATTTGATCTTTTGTTTATTTCCCTATCTGTTGGAAAACAAATTTAAAGTCTTTATGCTTATTTGAGGATTAGTTTATGAGTAAATAGTTAAGAGTCAGATACAAAGGGCTTAGTGAATGATAGCTATTATTCTTACATTATTTCCTCATTTAGGCCCTAGTAGCTCTTACCCTGGATAACTGCATCACTTTCCAAGATGATGCTCCTGGTTACCCCAGCTTGTTGAGAATAGACACTTTTTCCCAGTTCTGCCTTTAGTACTTAGCATGGTAGCTAGGATGTATTGCTACTTTATTTTGTTAAACTACTTCATCCTTTGACACCCTCTGATCTGTGTTTCACATTGCCTTCACAGAGATAAATTTTTAAATTTAAATCTGGATATATTCCTTGCAAGATTAATGCCATTCACATCTACCAAATAGTCCAGACATACTGTCATGAAATACAAGGCTCAGAGTTGACTAGTGTGTTACTTAAGTATTTATTCAGTTATTCCGTTCCTCTTGCCTTCTGTGCATTCCAATCACAAATACTGCAGTCCTTTTGATTTACCCCAGAGTTCCTTTTTAGACTTCTTGAGAAAGTCTGGTCTATTGCTAATGTGCTTGGCATATCTTTTATGTTGAAATATGAGGTCAGGGACTATTTCATTTTAAAAGCCATATATCCACAACATTATATAGTTGAAGTATTTCTGGTAATCAGTGTTTGTTAGGTAAATTCATGTGTAAATGTGGGGAATTTGATGGTAGAAATACACAAAAGAGAAGCAGTGTTCGAAAGAGAATATTGTCAGATCAGTTTTAAACATCTCAGATTTTAGATACCAATAGAGTGACTATGAAGGAAAATATCAGTGAAGTTTGTGAAAATTACTTACTTGTGTGAATAATTGCAGGAATATCTAGTCTCTTGTCTAGACTGAGGGCTGGAAGAGCATAGCTCTGGAACTCGCCAGAAAACTCTGGGATAGCTAGAGCTGAAATTGGTAGTCATGTTTGTTGATATGCCGTGGGAATCTTATCCTTGATATGCTTTCTTAATTTTCTTTTTCTAATAGGTTCATTATTATGAAGATGGTAATGTTCAGCTAGTCAGTCATAAAGATATACAAGATTCCCTAACAGTGTCTGTAAGTAATTAATTCCACAATAAAATTTAAATAGCCTAATATTTCTGTAAACAAGAACAGTTCTGTAAGTAACATTTGAAGTGATCTTTCTGCTTCACAGTAAAGTGTTTTGGGGGCAATTAAAGTTGGTAAGAAATTGCAATTCTGCATTTAGCATTTGGAGCAGCTTTAATTGAGATATAATTTACATATCATTTGGTTTATGCTTTTTTTTTTTTTTTTTTTTTTTGGTTTTTTTGAAGAGGGGCTCCCCTGCAGCC